TGATTCGTAAACCACTTTAACTTGAGATAAGTCAAGATGCAGTTAAAGCAAAGATATAAAGGCAGTTTGCAGTTGTAATGGAAATCAGAATATAAGCGCAAACTGAAATACGACGTTCGTACGATAAAACTGATTTGCGTCTTAAACCCCGATTCGGAAAGCACTGAACTTTGAAACTCGTTCGTAAAAACACAGAAGGCAGTAAGCTATTGAGGAGGTTTGCAGTAAAGATAAGATACTCAAAGTAAATGCAAACCGAGATTTAGAGTGGTTCGGTCAATCTTGATCTACTCCACTTTTGGCTTCCTCCACCGACGAGGTCATCGACGTCAACTAGAGGCCTTCCTTCAATAGACGAAGGCCAACCACCCTTTTACAGTTTCACTCCTTTTGACGGGCTTAGGAGACAACCCTTACAGAATTTTCTCTCCTCTCTTTACAACTCACAACTTGGAAGAACAGAGGGAGAAGAACTTTTGGCCTTTACAATAATTTTGAGCTCTAAGAATCACAGAAAAAGATCAAGATTTCGGTATAAGTTCATGCCCTTTCAGTGCTGAATGGGTGGGGTATTTATAGGCCCCAACCCAGTTCAAATTTGGAGCTCAAAATTGTCAATTCCCGGAATTCCGGGATTAGGCAGTTGCACCTCATGACTGGAGCAGTTGCACCGTCTGGCAGAGCTCGAAGACTGAGCCTCTAGGCAGTGCTACCTCTTGTCAGGGGCGGTTGCACCTCCTGCTAGAGCTCGAAGACCGAGCTCAGGCGGTTGCACCTCCTGACTGAGGTGGTTGCACCGCCTGGTAGAGCTCGAAGGCCGAGCTCAGGCGGTGCCACCTCCTATCAGGGGAGGTTGCACCGCCCAGTCTCGCTCGGAGACTGAGCCCCAGGCGGTGCCACCGCCTGGCTGGAGCGATTGCACCTCCCAGTCTCGCTTGGAGACTGAGCCCAAGCGGTGCAACCTCCTGCCTTGGGCGGTTCAACCGCTTGGCAGAAATCAGGGTCTGAATGGGTTGATCCATTCGGCCCAATTTAGGTTTTTCAGGGGCCTAATTGCCCCAAGATTAAGTTAATGGGATCACCTCCCATTTCCAACTTAATCAATGTGCTAACTACGATTTTTCCTAAGACATTTACTGCAACTTGCTCCGGTGCGTCAATCGCTTCTTCCGGCGAACTTCCGTCGATCATCCGATAAACCCTCGGTGATGTTCCTGCGGACTTCCGGCAAACTCCTGGACTTGCGACGATTCACTTGGCGAGTTCCGACGAGCTTCTTTGGCAAGCTTATGGACTTCTCGGATTTGTTCCCACAAAACCTCCGACGACTGCCCGAACTTCCGTCGAACTCTCAAACTCCCAACGTGATCATTGTCTTGACTCCGGCGTAACTCCTGTTGCATATCTTATTTTCATCATAGTTAATCCTGCACACTTAAAACAAAACTTCGATCGAGACAATTAATCCTAAGCAATTAACCAAGTTGTCCGGCATGTCATTGGTCCCTCGACGCTTCGTCTGATTCTTCAGCGCATCGTCCTCTCCTGCAGCCTATTGCCCAATCGGCCAGTTGACTCCGCAACTCCGATATCCTTGGCACAATACCTGCTCTTCTTGGCCCGATGCCCGAGTCCACGGCCCGAAGCCTTCTGTCGATACGTCGACCGATCCACCGGCCCGACGTCCAATCTTCTGACATGTTCCTCCGGCACAACATGATTTTCCTGTTTTAATTATCTCATCCTGATCGAAGCATCCTGCGTCACTCAAAACGCAGATTAAATCATAAACATATATCAAGTGGTTTTATCATCAAAATACGAGATTCAACAAGTTTCTCAAAGTCAAAGCCATGCCTCGGACCCCCCCCCCCTTTTATGGCATGACTTCCTTCGGGGGGGACGAAATATGATGAGGATAGTAATTATGATAAGACTCGGCTGACGTCAGATGACGCCTCACGTAACAGCACCTGGTCAATGCATACCGGAATGCCGACCGAGGCGCATTAACATCTTGCCAAAGCTCAATTCTTCATGCCACGCCAACACAAAGTCAGACGCTACAAGCCTGCCCCCTGCAAGCGGGCAGCTCAGGAAGCAGTATGCTTCCCTATAAATACCCTCTCGTTCAAAGAGAGGGGGGGACAGACACACAAAAACCCTTCTTCATTTGAAACCCCCTCCACATTAGCTAACTTGATCGTCGGAGGGGTCGGGCCGAGAGCCTCGGCTCGACCTTTGTGCAGGTGCAAAGCCGAAGGTCCCCTCCGGACGACCGCCTCAGCGGGCTCGAGGAATGCCCCAGGAAGATCCCCCTCATCTGGATCCGAACCGAGCCGCGTCGGCCCCGAGGCCACGGCTCAAAATTGTTTCCCACAACACTTTTAATTGATAATAATTTTTTCCCGGATACATTATATATACAATCATCTAAATTTTATAATATATATATATATATATA